AATAATAAATCCGTCGGAATTCCGTCGGTTTGCGTAGCCATCGGAAATCCGTCGGCAAAAGTGCCGTAGAAAATCCGTCGGTTACCACCGTCGTCGGAAATCCGTCAGAAGTTCTGGCCGTCGGAACTCTGTCGGTAAATGATGCTGTCGGAAATCCGTCGGTTACCACTGTCGTCGGAAATCTGTCGGAAGTTCTGGCCGTCGAAACTCCGTCGGTAAATGATGCCGTCGGAAATCCGTCGGTAATTGAAATCCGACGGAGTTTCGACGGAATTCCGACGGATTCCGGTTATCCCTTTTCCGTCGGAAATCCGTCAGTATTTCCGACGGATTTCCGACGGATTTTTATTTCCGACGAGATAGAACCGACGGACCAAAACCATCGGAAAGCCGTCGGAATAGAGGTTATTCCGACGGATTTCCGACGGTTTTGGCCGTCGGAAACGACCCTGTTTTCTTGTAGTGATAAATACATTCTATTTTGATCGATTTTAAATAAAAGTATCTGACGATAAAGATTGCGTGTTACATTCTGATTTTAAACAAAGCATATCTTATGTATTAATCAATGCATTCTTTACTTAGAGATACATTTTCAGTCTGGATACACATTAAGATACATGTTCTTTATTCAAACTTCATTTCGTGATATACATTTTCTTGATTCATAAGATACATTATCTTGAACTTTATAAAAAAAAGATACATTGTCTTGAATTTAAAGAATCTCAATTTAAAAGATAACTCAAATCAAATCTTTATAAACTCCTTAAAAATAGTTGTTCAGTTATGTGAACTCTAAAATAGACCTTTGGTATAGTGTTATTATTAATAAGTTGTTGTATATATCTATATCATCTTTGAGAAATTTCAAAAAAAAGTGTCACTTTACAAAAATACCACACTTTTGAAATCTTTACAAAAATGCTACTTTTTCAAAATTATTTTTTCTTTATATTATTTATGTTTGGGTTAATTATGTTCTATTAGGGTTTAGTTTTGAGTGTTTAGGGGGTTTTAGGTGTCAAAACATTTTGTAGGGATTATAATTTTAAGATATAGGCTTTATAAATCTATAATTAGTGGCATTTTTGTAAATGGACACCCCTAAGTGGCAATTTTGCAAATGTGCACACAAAAAGTGGCATTTTTGTAATGGCCCCTCTATCTTTTTAGTTTGTATCTGCTAATTCCAAAACAAATCCCGTAAATACAATTAGTTAAATCATGTCCACTA